ATAAAGGAAAATCAAATCGAAATATATATATATATATATATTTTTCCGCAAACTTCTTATATTTGATTAGACTTCTAAATTTAATTGAAAAAATATACAAATGTCCTGTAAAATTTTCGTGATTAGAGCAATGACATATTCGGTATGTACAAACTGCAGGATTTCTGTATCAAGTAAATATTTACGCCAACTGACAGCTAGAGATGTCAATTTGGAAATTTTTAATAGTTCTCGTCATATATTAAGCAAGCATCCAATTCATTTTCGCTCGTATTTTCACTGTATAAATGCATTTATAATTCAGTGCAACAATACGACGACTTTGCAGAAAGAAATAAGTCTTTTGCTAGTAAAGTTTTTAAGTGTGAAATCTTTTTAAAAAGATTAATGTGAAAAAGGATAATTTTGTTGTTATAAAAAGCCATCGTTGCTATTGCATATTGTTGCAACAATGATGAAATTTATATGGCATATCCAAATTAGCGAATTATTTATAATTAGAGCAGAAACAATTTTGTTGCAAGAATAGAACAATTTTGCTAAGTGAATATATCCTTAGAACGTTATTTTAGGGTTAAAATAAAATAGTATTTCTTATATTTACTAATTTATTCTTACAGCAAAGGAATTTGCAGATCCAACAAAGAAATGTGCAGCAAATGGCAATTAGTATACTTAAATCGTTTTATGTCTACATAATTTCTGGATATTACTGTAACCCCAGTCGAAAAGAAAGCAATCAGTGGAAGTTTCTAAGTTGGAAGGAAGCTGTGTCCCACTTGAGCAGTGCGTTCATTAATTAAAAGTTTCCCGCAAATTTTTCGTACGCCTACCTATATACAATTGTTCACAAAGCGAATGCTTCTTTAACCGTTTGAGTCCTGGGGGGTATTGAAAAAACACTGTGGAAGAATCCCAAATAGCGCAACCGCGCTTTTACTAAATGAGTACGAAAAGACCCAAGCAGCGCGATAGCGCTTGTTTTATTTTATGACGAGAAATACCAAGTGGCGCGATAGCGCTTCTTGTTTATGTCAGGTAACGTGATTCTCGTCTTTTTCTCATCGCTCCGTCACATTTATTGCAGTTTGCAAAGTGATCGGACGTATTCTTCCGTAAGTGTTTCTCATTGTTAATAATTGTGTGTTTCAAAATGATTAGACGAAGCAACGCAAAAAGTAAGTAAAAAATTTATCTATTAGGTGTACAACTTTGCTCTCGCCGTTTTTTTTAATTTGAGGCTTTATTGTAAAAAAATGGAAATAAAGTTATGACTCAAAGTATTGTCCATCACTGGCCATTACTTTCTCCCATCTTTTGGGCAATGCACGAATCCCGCGTCGAAAAAACTGGTCATCTTTTGAGGTAATAGACGAATCTATCCATTTTTCGACTTCTTCATAAGACTGGAAGTGTTGGTCAGCCAGGCCGTGTGCCATTGATCGAAACAAGTGATAATCTGAAGGTGCAACGTCTGGAGTACGGCGGGTGGGGTAGGACTTCCCATTTCAACGTTTCCAAGTATATCTTGACCACTTTTGCAACATGGGGACGAGCATTGTCATGCTGCAAAATCACTTTCTCGTGTCTCTCGGCGTAGTACGGCCGCTTGTCTTTCAATGCTCGGCTCAAACGTATCAATTGAGTTCGATACCGATCGCCTGTGATTGTTTCAGTTGGTTTTAATAGCTCGTAATACACTACGCCGAGCTGATCCCACCAAATACAGAGCATTACTTTGGAACCATGAATGTTCGGTTTAGCCGTCGATGTGGAAGCATAGCCGGGAACTCCCCATGATTTTCTGCGCTTNGTATGACCTATTTACTTTGACCACTAAGTTCCACTAAAGCCATCTATAGGTAAACGGCGAGAGCAAAGTTGTTCACCTATTAGATTTACTGTTTAATTTTTCTAGATTTACTGTTTAACTTTTCTAGATTTACTGTTTAACTTTTCTAGATTTACTGTTTAACTTTTCTAAATTTGATGTATCCTCAAAAAGTTGCCACATTGTAACTTGCGACAATGCGTAGTCTGCAGCACAAAAAAATGCAATAAAAAGATCACATTTAATTTGCGTGCGATGTGAAAAAGGAATTCATCCAATATGTTTTGATAAACACCGATGTTACAAGTAATAAGTGTTACTCTCCATTAAAATTGTTTGTTCATAACACAAAAATATTGTTAATTTGTAATTCGTTATTTTATAAAATACATCTGTATTATTACATATACATACTGTAAATTTATAAATATTTCAAGTTTTGTTTGATAAAAATTATTGAGAAGATAACAATGAAATAAAAATTTTTATTTTGGAATGTATTATTGCATTATTATAGTGTTATTCTAAATATTGTAAAATGTACTATTTACATTAAAAGGAGCTGTGTGATGTACTTGCGTCAGTAAATCTGAGCTTGCGACTTCGACAATCGGTAACGTACCGTCAGTTGTCCACAATGCTCGAAATATGCTGGGTTTTTTCGACATAAAATCTCAACAGCGCGATCGCGCTGCTTGGGACTCAAACGGTTAAGTTAAAATGTTAGTTTTAGCACCATAAGGATACATTATATAAGCTTAAATATATCGTCATAACCGTTGGACTCACTGTTCACCGTCTGAGCAGCGAGATTAAGCAGCATTGAATATGGAGGTGAATGGATGACTTGGCCACTAAAAATTTTTTTTGTGCATGCATACTAACTGTTTGCAGAAAGCTTCGAGAAGGTTTGTGTCTGTTTCTTCCGAACGCTTCAACTGAGCCATAAGCAACATTGAGTAAGCTACGCGGTCGTTTATGTTAAGAATAGATTGCTTAGGTTAAAAATATTTTTCTACGCAGTTCCACATTTTATTGAACGCTTAAACGCTTGCCGAAAGCTCGCCAAAAACTTCGATATTGATAAGGACAGCATTTTTCTCCATACAAAACATCATCATCGACGGCAGCTTCATTATTTGTGTCATTACGAGTTATAATTGCGATCGCATAATTGAAGTAACACGGGAGAAACGAGCAGGTAATTATTCGTTCTCGTGATTGGCGACGGAGAGACGTTTTACTTTCTCAAGTCGCATCAAAACATGAGAGAGTAACATTTACTTACAGGTCGTAATGGCGAAGACACCACAGATGATTAACAGATGAACGATTGACTTCATCCTGGCTATGTGGAGTTGCGTGCACTTGTACACGTTCCTTCTGAAACGAACCCGAATTGAAGACTACGACGCGCCACCATCTCCTGACATGCTTTTAACATCTTCGTGCGCGTGGATGAGAGCGGGAGCGGATTGTGGCGAATCGTGAGTTGTCCTCGGTCGTCTTCTTTGTGCAGGATGTTAGCCAACAGCAGAAAACTGTCCTGTCCTTCTTTGAAAGTAAAAGTTTCAAACATCTGCTGGCCGAAAGCATGCTCGCAAGTTTTATTCATTCTGCTGTGGCTTTAATTAGACGACAGACACGGCGTCAGAAAATAATACTTGTCATTTTAAATCATCAATTTAATTGACATTACATTATATTTTAACTTATAATAATTTTTAATCTTTCAATCTTTCTGATTGAATTTGAAATTAAATTAGAATTAAAATCTACCTATATAAGGTGTTCTAGATAAACATGTATAGATCATAAAGGTACAGAACGGATTGAGGTGAATAAAATAGTCTTGTGATGTTTTAAATATTCGCAATAGTTAATGAAGAATTAACAACTTGAATGGTATATGCATATTAATGCCCGCCAATATCCGTCCCATAAATGATGCATTATTGCGCACTATAATGTCAGAAAAGCTAGTCTAATTTTTTTTATTAAAAATGTATTACTGAATTTAAAAAATCATTATTTTTAAATGTTTAAATGTTTTTTATGTCAAGGAACACAAATTTCCGGAATTTTAAGTCAAAATTAAATAATTTTCTATTCCCAATGCATTGTTAACTGTTTAATATGTACCTTAATTTAATTAATTTTATTAGATTTTTCTTCTATATTGATTTGAGAATTAAAATTATGTTTTCATATTTTTTGTTAAATCAAATGAAATTTCATGCTTTCATTTAATAGCTCGTACAAATCAATTAATTCTTTATTAATTAATTTGTACGATATTTATTAATTGTGGTGAATATCGTAAAATTGTAAAGGAATTTTTTTTTACTTTAATTTGTTCTACGCCATTACGAGCTTTTTCCGCGTTGACTTGGAACACTCTTTATAAATAATCAGATTTTGATTAATAATTTTTAATGTCATTTCGTCGGAATTTTCGAATTATCTACTGAGAAATTATCCAAAGTGTACGAAGTTCTTTTGGCGCATTTTTTAGTAATACTTATTGATAATATTGTTGTTGCTCTGCTTACAAATTCGAAATTGATATAAATTTATGAATCCATGAAAATTTACAGTTGAATATTAATAGTATTTCAAAGATTATTTGGCCAATATTGTTGTTCTGCTTATAAATACGCAATTGATTTATGAATGTGTATAATATCCTAATCTGAATAGAGTTTATGCTATTGGCGACATAGCGGTAGGTATGAATGTCAACACGAAGAATTGCCATCTGCGAACAGTTTTGTCTGTCTGCTCACACAACGTTAGCAATTGTGTAGGTCAAGTCTCTTTTATTGTCAACAAAGAGTAAGTTGTAACATACATAGCATCTTCCCGCGCATTTATGCGCGTAATATATTATGTTCTTCTTGCATAATTGTACAATCGTAATTGCATAAACTGATGCGAAAATGTAATTTACATGAAAATACTCGATATTGTGATTCAAGAAAATTCAAATATTTTGCTGATATAATTGATACATATTTCTCGAGTTTTATATAAATCTTTGTTCATGTCTATCATATATCTATTTGTTTAAATTGTTACTTTTAAACTGGGCCGAGAATTAAATTTTAACATTCAATTTCAACTCATGCTCTTTGCAGGAACATAATACAATCTCTTCTTCCCTATCTTGGATTTCTTTCACTCTCACTCTCGACACGGAAAGTACTCATCAGGCGCGGAACGGTCGCGCACATTGCAGGAGACGATCTCGCTCCGAGTTCGGAATGAAACCTTGACATTTTCCTTTTATCGAGTTAGTCTGCGCGAACGTGTGAAAGATGGCCATATGGAAAGTGGTGGTCTCTTACCTCGTGGGTGACGTCCGATTATTTCACGAAAATTCTGACAACGATTCTCGGTAAGTATTTCTCTCACGTGTCATAAAACGTCATCGCCATTATTACCGCATGTTTTAACGTGCGTAACTTTTGATATGTCAGAAAATCGACGGCAATTACGCATCCAAGTTACGGAATAAGTTTCTTACGTGTTAAGGTAGTGCATAAATTAATTTTCTTAGGAATCTTTTCAAGTTTCAATAACATATTAATCGAAAAGCAATTTATAAAAATATTAAATTAGAAAAAGATTGACCGTATTGTTATAATCAACTGTACATGTGATCGATTATAACGACACGAATATTAAATTCGACCGCGGTAGTGTAAACGCCTCATGTGTCATACATTCCGCGGCGGGTTGCCGCTCAGCGTAACTATATATGGTAATAATTATTGTCGCTAAGCTATTGTCGTTATCCTCTCTGACAGCAAAACAAATTGTGAAAATATAAAAAAGCGAATCGGATTATTCGTGCAGCTAACTTCCAGAACATTGCCGCGACATGCGTACGTTCATAATGAATTACTAAGGTAATTGTGAAACAAATAAGTGTTAAAAAAAAATTTTATTATACTCCTCTCCGTATTTAACCATTTACATATTCTCTCCGTATTTAATCTCCCTTTTAGCCGATTCTGAACATATACCTCCTTTCGCTACAAGGGTACAACATTACCAAAATTGAGATAATTCAAAATCAAAGCATCATTTAGCATACAGCATCAAAGAGTACAGAAAGATCATGAACATGTACGAGGGCGGTCCGATAAGTACTTAACCTACAAAAGAAAAATGAAAATTTTGGAAAAGTGGCGATTTATTTCTCAACATAGTCTCCTTTTAGCTCGATACACTTGACCCAGCGATGCTCCAACTTCTTTAACCCATCTGAAAAATACGTTTTCTCGAAGTCTGCAAACGCCTCCGTGGCGGCGATGACCTCCTCATTTGACTCAAATTCTGCCTGGCGAGTGACTTTTTCAAGTTTGGAAACAAAAAAAAGTCGCACGGTGCCAAATCTGGAGAATACGGTGGATGGGGCAGCAGTTCGTAGTCCAATTCGACCAATTTGGCCGAATGAGGAGGTCATCGCCGCCACGGAGGCCTACTTTGCAGACTTCGAGAAAACGTATTTTTCAGATGGGTTAAAGAAGTTGGAGCATCGCTGGGTCAAGTGTATCGAGCTAAAAGGAGACTATGTTGAGAAATAAATCGCCACTTTTCCAAAATTTTCGTTTTTCTTTTGTAGGCTAAGTACTTATCGGACTGCCCTCGTATATTATAAGAGGATAGATCAAATATAAATGAGCCTTTTTAAATTGCGCGCCCGTCGGCGCGAGGGGTCTACAACGTTGTGAACAGTGGAGGGAGGTCATATGGAAGGCAGTAATTACGTTGGCGCACCACATGCTTCATACTCCTTGCAGCAATCACGATGAGTGGGAAAGAGGTATATCCCGCAGTTGCACAACGTGTTATTATTAAGTTTCTCATTAACAAAAATGTAAATGCAGCTGAAATTCAGTGCCGTTTCCTTTCACAGTTCGGGGAAAGAAACCTTTCATGGGCTCGGGAAAAGCAGTGTTGTAACGAATTTAAGAAAGGACGGGAGAGTGTTGAAAACTGCCCACCCGCGCCGTCCCAGCATCACAGCGCAGAACACCGAGACTGTTAGAGAACTCATCGAAGGCGATCGACACTTAACTGTTTTTGAAATCTCTCAGGAACTTCAGATCAGCTATGGAAATGTGCAATCAATCACTCGCAATGAGTTGGGATTTCGAGAAATGTCCGCTCGTTGGGTTCCAAAGTTGCTGAAGCAAAAATTGGCAAAAATTGGCCGTTATGCACTGGGCTGTGCTAGAACATCCACCCTTCAGCCCAAACCTGTCACCATGCGACTTCCATATGTTTGGGCCACTCAAGAAAAACCTTGGTGTACAGAGCTTCACAACGAACGAGGAGGTGCAGCAATTTGTGTGCAATTGGTTTGATACACGTTCGCGAACTTTTTATGATACCGGGATTATAAAATTACCAGACCAGGAAGTATATTGACAAGATAGGGGACTCTTTAAAAAAATAAGAAAAATATAAATTATAATTGATTATAAAAAATACATCTTTTTTTTGCAAAAGGCTCGTTTATATTTTATCCACTCTTGTATAATACATCGTAAATTTAGACTGTGTTTATCCTGATTCTAAAAGTTACGATGAGAAGTATTCAACTATTAGACGCTAATGGATTCCGAATATTGAAGAATTGTCTAATTGCACAATTTTCGGATATACAGTTTTATTATTAGAAAAGGATATTAACTTATGAAATAATATTTTAAAATGACAATCATTGATACAAAATCAACTGTTATTTCCTCAAAATAGAAATATTCCATGTAACATTGGATATTTTCTATATATATTCCACATATATACTCCATAGTATGCAAATAACATACTGTATATGCATTGTATGTACATTTCGTACACATAAATTGAATATACATAATAGTACATATTATGTATAAATAATACCCTTACAGAAATCTATTACTGAGA